GAGTGCGACTCTTCACCTGCCTTCTGTTAGCATCCTAGTAACTGTACCTTCATTTGTGCAGTATCCTTCTTGCTAGACTGTACTGTATCCTTGCCAATCGGTTATTTTAACGTGCTCTCCTATTTAAAAAACACGCACCCTGCACACAGAAAATGACCGTGTTAGGAACATAGCTTGTCTGCCAGATGCAGAGCACTCTACGTGACAGTCATTGGCTGTTTTTCTGTCCAGTTCCATGGCCATCACCTTGCCCAGAGCACCGGAGGGATTCCACAGCCTTCCCCAATGGCTTTCCAACAAGACGGAGGTGGTACTGCAGGGCCTAGTAAAGCAGAGTGACCCCCAACCAGTGATTGAGTATTCACTGGCTCTCATCACCGTCTTAAATGAGGTATGAAATTATGGAGGGAGGATGCTGGTCTCTTGGTCAGCTTTATGGAGTTAAAAATTAAATTAACTCGTCTTCTACTTTGCCAGAACATCTCACAGTCTAAGAAGGACATACATAGAAGTGATGGGAGAGATGCATGCGTAGGTCCTCCTCTGTTCTTTTAAAAAAGCAATGGCATGGGGGATCAAGAGAATCAGGATTGGGGGGTCAAAATGGTGTCTGAGAGTGTATGGTTGCAGCTGTCATCCTGACGTTTCTGGACCCCATCCCACCCCCAAGGGTGCCCCTGTGTGGGATATCTCACCCAGACTGCACTATTGGACAACGAAGACCTAATGGGGGGATTACCTTTTTTGCACTGCGTTCATTCCCTGTTTAAAGGTGTTCCTACTGGGGACAATATTCACAGCCACAAGACAGAATCTGCAGCTTCCCAAGAACCATAGAGGAATACGGAGATGGCCTTGGTGAAAATATCCAGGAGCCATTCAGGGAAAACCAGAGACGACTCAGTCTTGGGAAAGGGGAGGTCATGAGAAAGAAACTCCAAATAGTCTTGCCTTGAGTCTGTTTGGTGTAAGGGGAAGCAGCATTCTTGTGATCCTTGCGAGGTCTGTTTCCTGACCTGACTGCCTCAAGGTCTGATAGAACCTGATGATTCATTTTTCTGTCATCCCACCCAAAGTATGAATCTTTTGTACATTCAAAACTGGAAGCCGAGCATGATGTCCCCCTTCGGATCCGGATCCGCAGGAACGTGACCGAAACGCTGACCTCCTTGAACGTCAACACAGTGGATGACATCCGGCAGATTGTGGCTGCGCTGGCCCAGTGTATGGTAAGTGTTTTGGGCCCGGGGATAAAGCAGAAGGGGCTGGGATGGGTGGGAATACCTAGACCTGCTTCTGGCTTGAACATGTGAGCTTTCCCTGGTTTAAAATGGGATGATTTCAAACTGTGCCCGTAGAAATAGACAGCAGGCAAAATGTCTTTGGTGCACTTTTCTTAGCATCCATTCCCTCCTCCAATTTTCTCCCTTCCTTGTCTTTTCTAAATGAACATACTTGGCTAATGAGCAGCTCTGCCCTGATCAGACTAGGGCAGGGTGGGGGAAGGCTTATTCCCTCCCCCCCCCACCCTTTATGTTGTGTGTACAAGCAGAGGCTGGATGCTCAGAGATGCTCTGCCCTGCGCTGAATAGGGAGGCGGGCTACGACCTCAGATCTCCTTCCATCTCTAGGATTCTAGGATACTTCAAGCCCAGGAGTTTTCACAAGCCGCCGCCTTGTTTCCTGATGGCCCCATCTGAGTTAGGGTTCTGCTTGCACTACCTGAATTGGTGTTAGAATAAAGGGGAGCTAAAGGAGCCTCGGGCGGCGGGGTGCAGCCTTCCTCTTGGACTGCTTTCATTTGGCTTGGGTTGGCCCTTGCTGACTTAGAGGAGCCTGTGGATTCCTCCAGCTTCTGTGGCCATTTATGGGTTTTGGCTCTCCCTCAGCCTCTGTTTCCTCTCTGGAAAATGGGAATAGCAACAGGGTGGTTGCCAAGATTTTAAATCATGTTGAGATCAGTTCCTGACTGATAATTTCCAGAAGACATAAGGGAGCGGCCTTAGCTCCATAGTCTGGAGGAGAGACCTCTCGCCCCACTGCAGAAAACAAGGCTCTGCCGGCAGGGCAATATTAGGGCTGTGTCCATTGTGGGGCAAGGGGCTCTGGCCATTCTCCCCTCCCTGCCAAAAGGAAAAGGGTGTGGGAAAGAAGGCCTGGCCCAAAGAATGTGTAGCTAGTCTAGGTGTTGGCAGGGAGGGAGAGGAGAGGAGAGGTTGAAGGCAAGGTAGCAAACAGCCAAGATCTCCCCATGGGTTAGAGGCAGAGGGTGTTCCTCTGGACAGCTTCATCTGGCTAGAGCATGGGTCCTTTGGTCCATCAGCTGGAGTCAGTTCCTCTTGGTCCGTGGCTCTCTAAGGGCTCTTCAGAACACACAACTGGTCTGGTTTCAGGAGGCATAGATATCTATGTCCTCAGGCTAGATGCACCACTCCGAGGAGAACTAGGAGGAGGGAAGCCTCCTGGCTCCCCAGTCAGTTCCCCCAGTTGTGATCCTCCTTCCCTCCCTCCCTCCCTCCCTCCCTCCCTCCCTCCCTCAGCATCCCTGTCTTGTTAAGCAATTCTGGAGGTTTTCCGATGGGGGCTAGCTTCCTGCCCTGAGCAAGTGGTTGGACTAGGTGACCTCAGAAATCTTTTCCAACTCGGACATGCTTCAATTCATATTGTGGCCTAAAACTGCCTTTCCCCAACAGAGCGCTCAGACCAGGTTGGGCTACAATTCTCATCCTCCATACCCAGCACAATTCTTACTGCCAGTGAGAACAGTACGGGTCATGGTTTTTGTTGAGACTGCGGTGGGGGCAGAAAGGTGCTTGACTGGACCACTGCCAGCTCTTGAACCCCCTCACCATAAGAAGAGTGAAAATAGTCAGGCACACATGTTCCTCCCTAAAAAAGAGATTGGATCTGAGCTTGAGATTCTGCCCCCGTGGCTCTGTGCCCCCAGTGCAGAGGGTCCCCAGGGGAAATCGCTGTTCATTCGGCCCTCGCCCAGCATCTGCTGGGTGGGGCCAAAACTAGGGAGGCGTGCTTGGGAGACCCTGAGTTTGGGGGTGGGAGGCCAAGGAGCACGTAATGGAAAGGGCCTGGCGGCTGGGAGGGGCATTCCTGCTGGCAATGGTCTTGCAGCCTGATGGGCCAGGCTGGCTCTGCATCCTTTTGGACTACTAGCCTGCCAGCATTGGCAGCACAGTCACAAATGGAGAGAAGAACCAACGCTGCTGTGAAAGAAGCGGAAAGCGTTCCATGTTTTCTATGGGATGCCTATAGAGCGAGCTCTCTGTTGACTTTTGGCTGCGGCGGTTGGTGGCGACAGGCCTACTGTAAGACAGGGCTCTCTCCAGGGTGGGCTGCGTGTGTGTGGCGTGTCAAAAAAATTAAGATGACAGCTGTGACCATGTGACCAAAACCCTGCCCCTTTTCAATGTATACCATAACCATCTTCAATCATGCAGTTGCAATTGCCATCTTGCCTTTTTTGACCCTGCTTGTGGAGATTCCTGGTTCTCTCTAGTTTAATTAGTGAGGATGGAGGAGCTGCTGGTCCTCTGCAGCAAAGACTTTTCTCCACAATCTGGTGATGGTTTGAAGGGAAGGAGGCAGAAGGTTGGGTCGCTCAGCCCTTCCAAAAATAGAGTTGGAAGATTTTTGTGGCATCTGAAGAAGCCTACTTTTCTTTGTAGACTTCACTGCTAAGTTAGTGCCAAAGAGACCTCCCAAACGCCAGTGGGTGGCAGTGCCTCAGCCATAGCCTGAGCCCACCAGCCCTACTGCTACTCTCTAGTGCAGGGACAGTACTCTCTGGTGGAGCTGACCTTGTCTGGTCAACCCTTCAAAGTGGACCAGAGAAGAGAACCAACGCCATGTAGGTCAGGACTACTTTTATTGTAAAGCTATAGGAACTGAACCTTGCAAGTCCAAATGTGCTTCCCCCTCCTTCCCTTTATCTTTGTGTGAACTAAAGAGGGGCTCGTCTGAGACGTTTTCTTAAGTTATTTTTTTGGCCCGAGCTCAAGCCCCTCTTACCTGTCAGTTGCCCTGGTAGCAGCTCTTCCTCCTGTCCCTCAAGACCCTTCCCTCTGTCCTCTGTGGCTCATGGTTATCCCAGCAGGATGGAAGGGAAAGGGTGGGGACTTTGTGTGATGCTCTCAGATCTGTGTGGCTGTGGCAGGAAAGAGCTCTGCTGGGTGAGGACTGTGTTGCCTGTGTTGAACACAGCATCCCTCTGCGAACCCCAGAGCAGTCCTGCTCCAGTAATAATAATAATCACCACCACCACCACCACCACCACCATTTGAAGACCATCGG